TTCCAAAATTAATAGTGAGTGAGATATTCGAAGTCGGTTTTGTTTGCCAGCCTTGATAACTCGTTGTACGGGCGCCCGCTTTTAAATCCATACACACGAGCAACCCCGGTGCCGGCACCAAAGAAATTTTTAATTTTATGCACTGAATTATCGCGTGCTCAGCGGTGAAGGAAAACATGGTGAGGAAACCTGCATGTTTTCGAAATAATAAAAATTATGTCGAAGATATGTGAAGTCCGCCAACCCGCAGTGGGGCCGCGTGGTGGACTATGCCCTGATACCCTCTGTACAGAGGCCTTCGCCCAGCAGTGGGACATTTATTACTTTACATTTACTTTCTTTTAATTTTGTTTACTACGATTTTCTATTTGTATCTAGATATTTTTCTACAGTCAGACAGAACGGATAAATATTGCTTGTGATAACGATAGATATTACTTGTGAGGAACCGATTGAAAAATACGCGGTCGTTAAGCAATATGGGCGTGTAGCGAACGCAGCCGCCCGTGTATTGTATACGATTCGCGGAATTTCCTAGGGGGTCGCTGGAAATTTGCGGCGGAAAAAATATCACGCTCCACTGGAGGTATTTCATCGCGGCCGGTAGGGTTATGCCCGATTACGATCTCTTAATTTACAACCGAATCGGATATCGGGACAATTGCTTCGTTAGTTTTTTTTTTTTATTATCTATATCTACTATCGGTTTACATGTTATGATTCAGAGCTCCCGAATAAACTTCATTTCAATAGCGAATTGAATTGCGAGGAATTTTTGTCGTATCCAATTCACAAAACTGAATTGTTTATGTGCAGGTAGCAATTGCTTGGAGAAATTTATTGCTGAAAATTTATATAATTTCGCACCCGCCATCAGTTAAAAGATTTTGTTTATTCATCACTATGAATAAACAAAATCCTTAAACTATAGTTAAATTTTTAAGCTATCGCATTGCTTTTACCGCGGGCTTTGAGCGCGGCGATCGAATCAAGAAATCCCGTAACGCAAAGAGTACCACAGTTTTCATGATATAACCGCTTAGCGATATAACCGCCGTCCATTAACATGTGCTACCCCCGTATGGTTGCAGATTCGTTACCTATTAATAAAGTGGGCCCCGGCTACCCCACTCACCAGACGAAGCGCAGAATGTTATACTTCTTACCCTTCACGCCGGTCTTTTGTGTGGTCGTCGTACTTATCCGGACGGATTTGCCATTCTACATAACTATATATTTTGTCAACTTGTATATCTACATTTAGATTTCATATTATATTTAGATGAATGTTAAATTTTTTTTTTAAATTGAGAAAACTTGTTAAGGTATATATTTGTTAGGTGTCACTTTAAATTAAATCAATAAAAATCAAGTCGTAAGTTACAATAACAACTTCTTATTGAGAATGTCACGTCAAAAACTTGCATAATGAATATGAGATTTAGCATTAATAATTAAAAATTTCTCACGTAATCCAAAACATACATGTCTTAGACATAAGCAAGTCTTTAAATTTAATTTCCATTTCCCAATAGTATTATCATATTGTTAAACTACACTCACAATCTGTATTGTATCACCAAGAAGATTTATTTACTACGTGAATGTAAATTCATAATACTTACTAATACCATCATAATACGCAATAGTGAACTTGTTATAAAATGGAATTCGCCGATTCGTACAACCCTAAGCGCGGCTGTTATTAATAATGGCGGCATATTACAATTCAATTTGTGCGGCCCGGCGGGCGTCCATAATCCCCGCCCGTAATCCTGCAACAGATAAACTACGCACAATTATATTAAAAGCGAACATGAAAATTTTACGAAACCAATCGACGTATCGCTCTCAAATCGTCCGCATGTCGACATCAGCAGTTTACCAGTCAGCTGATTACGTAATGGAACGATTTATAAAAGGAATTCCCGGACGATGTTCCGCGGAGTAAGTACCGGTGTTTCGAATCAGAATTTCTCAACGGTGTTAACATTGTCAAGGATTTTTTGATTAAGTATATTTTTATTATATTTCTTTCGCTTCGTCTAGATTGGCGAGTGATGATCAATCGCCGCCGAAGCTTAATACCATCTAGTATTAAGTTACAGGCGGAAGCTATTTCTAACACCTCTCTTCCTCCTCGCCCTTATCTAACCTCGAGTTCGGCACAAATGTCGAGTCTGTTGCTTGTAGTTTTGGCTAGGTTTTTACGACATGCCCGACGTCAACTGCTTGCGAACGAACGTCCAAATCCAAAACAATTATCTATGGGTCGCACAAGTGTACTTGTCCCGTGTGTGAATTGAACCCAAAACCCCGGTTACGAAACCAACAGCTTAGCAACGTGTGCCGCCAAGTCATCAGGTAATCCCCAACATGCTGCCACTTATTATATCCTATTCACTGTTGTGGGACTACGCAGCGGGTTACGCTGCTGTTGCCTGAATAGGTATGCCCGGGGAAGTACCGCGATTTCACAAAGACAGGCGCTATGTGGAAATATTATACTTTTGCTTATAATCCAGTGAGTGAAGTAATCGGGCTGTTCTCTTTTAAAGGTTGGAAACGTATCTACGACCTCATAAGAGTTGTAGGTTTCTTTGGACGGCGTTAATCACATCTAAGGAACTGCCTTTTCACGCAAAAAAGCGGAAGAAGCAAGTAGCAGCTTCTACAGCTGCATAATCCAATACAGCGGTGAGTGACGTCACCGGAGTTGGCGGCCTATAGACATTTGCAACACCCGGAGGATTTCAGATGCGTTGCCAGCTTTTGGGCCTCAGTTACCTCGCTCACCAGACGAAACGCAGAAGTATAACTCTTCCACGTCACGGCGGTCTTCTGTGAGGTCGTGGTAGTTTCCCTTACGAACCTGTCAACTCGTGCAAGTCTTGTATGACCCTACCACAACTATGTTTATGTTTATGCACACCAGGGCTACCATATGCTTGTTTGCCAAAACATCACTTTTAAAATGTATTACAGTATTGCTTGTTTAAATGATTTACGGAACTTATATTATATTGTATTCAATACATTCAGTGTTTACATCAATTTATGTATAAAGATGAACAAATACGGAATACAACAGCCAACTGTAACTTACCGTAATCCTTTTCTGAGAGGCTTTCCTCGAGGCGACGCTCCGAAATCACTCATGTAATTACTCGCAAGTGGCGGACTCGGGCAACGAATCCAACGGACCGACAAATAGTGTTACGCACTTGCGCTAAACCCATTACACGGGGGTTCGATACGCGAACTTTGCAATGAAAAACATCGCAATCGCTGCTGATACTTTGGATATTTTAACCGTAAATAATAAATCCTTAACATAATTATAATTTCTTCAATTCACGTGAATACTGTACATTTGAATATGACAACCTTGCAGATTTCATTATACTCTTAAATACCGACATTTCCAATATTTTACCGTATAAATAGTAACGGGACAACTACAAAGTGTAGGTAAGAGAACAAAACTGAGAAAGTGCCCACAAAAATGTACATAATAAGGGCTCAATGAATAACCAGAATAGAGCTAATGTAGCATAAGAGTAAAACCTGAAGTTACCGGTAGTAGATGAGGTGAAATGCCCCCCACAAGGAAATTAGTAAAATCCGAATGAGAATATTTTTATATATGGAGTGATACGCTTGACGTCACGGAAATCCCAATGAAATTTCCTTTCTAGTTAAAGTTTTTTTTTTTTAATTTAAGAAAATACGACAGGATAAAAATAATCTATCGCCCGGTTTCTGAAACATTGATCATCGTATAAGTTAACTATTTAGCAGTCAAATGGCTTTTCAAATGTTATTTGAGTTGCCAAAAGGATTGTTAAGTTCTCTCAAGCTCTCTGAATTGATCAGAATGATATTCTTAACTAGCGGTGCCCGCGACTTCGTCCGCGTGGAATTTTAAATAAAAAAGTAGTCTTAAATAAAAGTAGCCTAAGTTACTCCTTATTACATCAGCTATCTGCCAGTGAAAGTCCCGTCCAAATCGGTCCAGCCGTTTCAGAGATTAGCCGGAACAAACAGACAGACAGGCAGACCAAAATTGTAAAAAAAAATTTTTTGGTATATGTACCGTGTATATATCCATATGCATTTAACAAAAAACGGTTATTTTAATATTACAAACAGACTCTCCAATTTTATTGATAAGTCTAATAATAATAAACGACATCTCTTGGCTTAAGAAAGAACGTAATTATAAAGCCATTCTATTTTGCCAATAGATGGCAAAGTATTCTACCTTCTTGAAATTAAAATGTGCATTGTTGTTTCTTTACAATAAAAATTTCTTTGTTTAGGTGTTAAAAAAAAGAATAAATATAATCTTAGTTAAATTTAAAAATAGAAATAAAAATCCTAATATGGCAATTTTTACGGGGATTTCCTTACACGTAAAAGAACTGGCGACTTGTACGAGGTATTTGTAGTCGTGTCACAGTACAGTGATGGCAAGTGAAAATAAGATATCGACATTTATCGTTTATATTTTTAATTTTTAAACAGTATCAAATAATATGTAGCAATGATTATTTGTCAATAATGATTACTATTACTACATTTTATAAAACAAAGTCATCCGCCGCGTCTGTCTCCTCGTGATAAACTCAAAAACTACTGCACCGATTTTTATGCTGTTTTCACCATGGATAGAGTGGTCTTCGAGGAAGATAAGGAGAATAATAATCCGTCAGGGAGCTTTTAACGAACACCCTTTAAGATGTAACAAAATAATGTATGGCGGATTTGTGTCTCGTATAGATATAGATCTACAGCAAAGTTTGCCATGGCATATGTCTTCTTATGGATCTCTTAAGGATAACATACTATATCCATATTAATAGGTACTTTAAAAATTCAGCAATTATCAAGCGGTAATTGGAAAGCTATTAACACAAATACAGTATTAATTCTTAATATCATTTTGAATAAGTTAAACGAATATCTTAGTAGTAATCGCAAAAAAAACGGACGAGAGAATGAAATTCAAGCACCTCGCTTCGCTTGATGCAACCGCCGACACTCGGCTCGCACCGTCTTGCCTACTGTTTATCCCTGGAATAGGTTCCCATAGGTTGCAGGAACGGTATCAAAATTTTATGATTACATGTAGTCGCAATAACCGACATCCACGTGGGCGAAGCCGCGGGCATCAGCTAGTTGACTATAAAATATGGATATATCGTCATGTTTTGCATGATTGTTTGTAAAGTTCAAACAACTATATATATAGTTATATATAATTCTTCTAATTCCTAAACGGCCGGACCGATTTTAATGAAATTTTTGTGTGTCTTCATGTCGATTCGAGAATGGTATAGATTCACAATACGGTTCACTATTTTTTTTTAATTTATAAGTTGTTGTCTAATTTAAGTGGTCTGTTGGGTCGTTATAATAAAAATGTTTATGGGTCAATCTTGTGAAGGAACGACGCAATCAATATGAATCTAGTGTTGCGTTAAAAAAACATATAGAATTTTGTTTCAAATATCAATTATTTTTCACCATATTTTTCCACAATTTCTCACCACGCCCCGGGTTGACTAGGAGAGAATGCCAAAAGGCATTAAGTTCGCCTTTTGTAATTCTTTTTATTTAAAGGTTGCAATAAAGTAATAAATATTTCAATAAATATTTATTAAAGTAAAAAAAAAAAATAAATATTTTGTACCCTAGTCCAGCAACATCAACAATAATCGACATCAACCCATCTCAACAGGAAGTTAGATTCACATAACAGAGTACTTAGTGCTGAGTGTCATTAACAATGTTTGTTTGACCGTGTTACTCTAATTAAGCATAGAGTAACTTATTATAGGAGTAAAGTAAAAGTGCTATTAAGTAACAGCAGCTCGTGTTCAGTTATAAGTTGTAACGTTCACAACGTAGTCTTTCTTACAGTGAAGTGCGCCTATGTTCAAATAAAAACAACAGTGCCGTCTTTGTAAGTACACAATTATGCTAATATAATAACATCCAAATCTGTTAGACAATAAAGTAAATGGATGCCGATATGTTTTATTTTATTTCCTCAGAGATGTCGATATTACATCATTATTTTCTAATAGTAACACCATATGTTAGCCGCAACATAGGTGATCTTGAACCGCCAATTTTTGTGCCATAATGTATTACTATTGGCAGCTAGAACTAATGTAATAATTGTGGTACAAAAAGATTTCATTTTATATATTATTATATTATTAAGATGCCAAGACCTGGCCATATAAGTAAGTCATGAAAATATTTAAAGCCTCATGATGAAAAAAATAATTTTACGTGGAATTTCATTTCTCTTAATGAACAAAAAATACTGTTCGAATATAACAGGAAGGATATTTGTATGAACTGTTAGGTATATTATTAGTTAGAAAATTTAATAGGTACTGTATTTATATTAAAAAAATTACGTATACATTTTTCAGTTTAATAATGGAGAAGTTTGAATTTTCTTCACAAAGTGCATCAACACCGCAAGAAAAGGTTGTATTTTCAGGCCGTATTTTCTATAACGTTTATAAAGATGCAGAATTTTTAAGATATACTGAAAATATAGACACAGTACTATCTAAGAGTCATGAGCTGAGACGAAAATTGAAAGATGTTGCTCCTGGTAAAATACTCTTAATTGACGGAATGCGGCTGGAGAGGAAGTAAGAATGAATTCTCTATATTTTATCGGTAATTGTTTACAATAAGGGCACGCGCGTTTTTTCGTATACAAATATTTTTATTCAATAGTGAAACATTACCGAAACGATAACTACGAAGTAATGTACAAAAATATGGCGAAATATTTAATATAGATTTGAAGAAAAAATAAAATAATCTAGCAATGCTAAGGAATTCCGCCATTACGCTGTGTACAAAAATCATTTTTGGTAATAATTTTGGACTAAATTTTTTCTTTGTTGAAGAATATAGTTTTAATAAAGATGTCCATATATACTACGCGGCGTTTAAAAATTGCTCCGCTTTACGTTACATAACAAATATAACCGAATGTGGAACTATCGGGTATAAGTATATAGCAGTCTATAGAATTGCAATCTAATTACAGCAATTGCCATAATTTGAGTGGCTCAATTTTGGTGCGCTGTCATATCTATAAAAATATATTCATACATTCATTTGGTGTTAAGTGATCGTAACCGCCGCCGTATATTTGAAACACGCGTAGGGTGGCAGATGCATTGCATCGTTTAATACTTCGAATACCATTTGCACTTCACGCCTGTCTTCTGTGAGGTCGTGGTACGTCGCCAGACTCGTACAACGGCGAAGACTGCGTGGCGCTACGACAGTTGATAATGAGACAATAGAAACGCAACCAATATGCTATTGTTACGACTACTTATTGATTTCCTCAATTCCGATTTAAAGTCAATGTTAAAATTTCTTTCTTTAATATGGCTTGTATAAAGCTCTTATTGAAGTGGTTTTAATTGTAGCCAATAAATCAAAAGGTTTTCGGACCGCCTTTTTTTTGATAATGATTACTGCATATGGGGTTGTTATCTACAAAGATACGCCAAATCCATCCCCATCGTAAGTTATACAAGTCACTACAGCAAAATAAAGGAATGCAGCGGTTTCTCTATTAAGACAATCGCTTGAAAAAATGACGAAAATCACTTGACACAGGCCAGAACACATCAACCATTGTTTATATTGGAAATTGAGGAAACTTTCATATAGTGCTTCTATTTAACCCTCCCATAACTGAAATTTTAATCACAATAATGTCATAGGTAGGCCAATCATAACATAACAAGCATGTTATGATGATATGACCTATGATAACGTAGCGACGATGAGCGTGACGTTATGTACTATTAAAAATGCCTAATCCAAGCTTTTTTATTCTTACAGTACTCCATTACTAGTGAAGAAAACGGGGCCAAAGGTAAATGTGGAAAGTTTTGAGTTCACCGCAAATAGACTTAGCGGATTAGTTGCTGCATACACTTTTGAAAACCGCCTCAGGTTGCCTGATATAAAGTCAAGTGAGGCCCTGTCACTAGGTCTCAAATGGGATAATGGCAACACTGAGAAGTGTAAGCTTTATTTGGCGGCCGTAAGCGGTTCAGAACATTTCTACGATCAATTTTCTTACTGGCCGCTTATTTGCGCATTGAGAAAGCTGCAAATGAAAAAGATCACCGTCGAGCCCGTTGTGAAAATGGCGAAAATCAAGAACCATGAGGGCGTGACAATGGCTAAAGATCTGACAAACAATCTTGCAACGGTGTATCGTCTTTGGCTGCATTTTCCAGGTTGCTCCAATGTTGACTACAAAAAATTCATACAAACTTGTCCCGAACAGCTAGCTAATATCTTTAGAGATGATTGATGAAAGTTTAATGAATAATAATGATACTGTCTGGGTCATGTTGGATAACATTGAAATGAATGTCAATAACAGGCAATTATATAATGACATACTAATTGGGGTATTAGTGGGTTAAATACTTTAATGTAATATGTAATCATTTATTTAGTGATATTCAAAATGGTGCTAAATAAATTGTTCCATTTAATTATTATAAACAAACAACTTATATTATAATAGTTTTTATTTACAATAAACTAATCATGTTTTAGTTTGTTATAATTACCGTAAAGTATACAGAAGCTATTTTTATTTCATTTGTAGTAACAACATATCAACATCTTAAGTTAATTTCATAATAATAAAGGTTAAATGAAACCCTAATTATTTTAAGCGTTTTTATTAATTTCAAAAAATAACTAGTATATATCATGCAGCACTACATTCAAAACTATGACAAAAAAACACAAAATAGCAAACTGCATGTGGATAATACAAAATAAAATAATGACTAAAATTACAATTCAATTCAGTTCCTATAGTTCACTTTGTAATGTATGTTAAAAAGAAACACCATAGTGATTTATTCTTATAACCCATTAATTTCTATTTATCTAACTACTTACAATCTAATGTTTTTACAATGATATTATAGTTATATGGACAAAACCTTCGCATTGCACTGCCACTAAATGCTCAAATGACAATGATCAACCAAGTCCGGCTTGACTGAAAGCGGGCCTTCCAAAAATAATCACAGACTTCGAATGGGCGCCACGAGCGGATTGTTTATTTTCTTTAAAGAAAAAAAAACCTATTCGGCGTCGCGTTCGCATAAATCGACCTCTAATAATAATAAAAAAGATGACGCAAGTGTTAATTCGACAGATAATCTTAATCGTACCTGAAAATGCTAAAATTCGACTGGACTAGTTGGGCAACACTATAAATCGTCTAAACATTAGTACAACCACTTTAGTAAAACAAGGTTACAGATAAATTTTATGTACACATGAAGGTTTCCCGAGGTCGATCTCAAGTATGACCTGTCACATAAGGAACAACTGTTAATCGTCTGGAGGCACAAATCTTGCATTGCATCTCTAAGGAATTAGTTAAAAAAAAGTTCAACTGAAGGAAGTCAATATTGAAAGCCACGAGTTTGAGTCATCTCGATTTAACATTGAAAATTTTATAAGATTGATTGTTAAATCAGTGAATAACATTGCATGTAGTTATTGTTGTCAAGCACATATTTAATAATAAAATTTTTAAACTCTACACAAACGCTTTATTTGAACATAAATTAACTTTCACTTTTCACATTAAAATTTCTTTCATTTCAAGTAATGTAATCTTGCACAATCAACTAGTTCTACATGTTTATATAATATAATATTTATCATTATTTTTGCATAGTTTTAACAATTTTTACCATTAAAATAATATCTGTTTTTGATTACTTGAGTCACAGCACATTATATTTATATAATACAAGTTCCAATTAGAGTTTATTGAATATACAAATTTAAAAACCTCTATAATTTTATATAAAAAAAAATGAAATAAAAAAAAATTACTAGAGCTATTAAATACATGATACATAGACAAACTAAACGCTGAAGATATGTAACCCAAGATAACAGATCCAAAATATAAAATCTGAGACAACAGCCCAGACTGATGGTATTAACCTCGAAATACAATTATAGACCCATACAACACAAATTCACACGGCGTTCATTAGAGCGTATGACATATGTCAGACTGCATATATTGACAGGTGTCAAAGCTTTCGGGTATGTCCGAACGTCAATCGCGATGAACCGAAACAGACGCTGTGTACGCATAGAAAAATATTATCTGTCTCGTGAACTCGACCGATTTAACGGTTGTGTGCGATTACTTGACAAGAGCCGAGTTGCGTTACCATTATAATCTGCCATACCGACCGCTATGTACGCGTAGAAAAATATTATCTGTACCCACTCGACCGATGGTGTGCGATCACTCGTCAATCGTAACGCGTGCCTAGTGCGTGTCCGTTCCGCGAGTGGGGGGGGGGGGGGAGGGGGTTTGCACTTAGCGAGTTAGAGGGAGAAAAACGATACACGCGCACGTTTACTGCGTTACGTTCAGTGCGTTATTATAGTGGAGTGGAGGCACTGGGGCACCACGTGGCGGTAGGGCAGCCTGTAGTTCTTGACGGTGCGCGCGGCGAGGCACTTGAGCGTGGTGTACTTGAGCGGGTTGACGATGGCGGCGAGGCTCTGCTGGGCGGCGCGCAGGATCTCCTCGGGCGTCTCGCCCTCGTAGTTCACCGTGTCGATGTGCGCGCCGTGCGCGAGCAGCGCGCGCACCACGTCCGACGGGCACGGGTTCAGCTGACGGCCAAGTGGTTTTTTTTTTTATGGAATATGGAGGGGAACGAGTCACCTGATGTTTGGGTCCTGAGTCTAAACGAACACTGCGATCCAAAAAATCTATTGTAGTCCGAACTTCGAAGACATTAGAAAGAAAATATCCCTTATCGAGGGATAACATTATCCCGTAATGTAAGGATATTTTAAATACATTAATTTTTAATAATTAACATTAATTTCACGTGGATAAACACTCAGATTCAAAACAAACATACGAGTTGTCTCGTGTGGGATACGAATCCACGACCGCATCTTATACCTAGGCAACGGCGCCACGGAGTCATCCACCTGATGGTAAGTGTTCATCGCTGCCCATGGATACTCACAAGACCAGAGGAGTCAGAAATGCGTTGCGGGCCTTTAAGGAAGGATTAGAATTCCCCTCGAAGATTCCCAAGTCGTATAGGTCCAGAAATAGCGTTGCGAAAATTGATTCCACAAATAGCAGAGTCGAGTAAAAACGTATTCGTGGATTGCCAGCTGTATTTGCGTTTCGTTTCGTTTGTTGTGGTGTTATAATGGGTACGGACGCAGATTTGTTCAGCAGTGTAAGCCTTCAGGCTGATGATAATGATGCTTATAATGTAAATCCTAGTGACAATCAACTGTTCGTAAAGGTCTGAACATCCAGTTCTTTTTAGAATTATGTTAAACTGTTACTCTCACTTCACGCCAGTTACGCGTGAGACCGAGGTACTTCCCCAGACAGGCGTGCCCATTTCTCACAGTGTTAGGGCTGTCCACCTTGCAGGCGAGGTGTCCAAATTAAACCGGTCATATTCGACGCCGCGGTACTCCAGCGGCCGAGCGTGGCCATCCTTCGCGGCACTAGGGTTGCCCACCTTGCAGGCGAGGTGCAGCGGCGTGTTGCCGTCGGCGTCGCGCGCGTCAGGGCTGGCGCCGAGGCGCAGCATGAGCGCCACCAGCGCGCCGCAGCAGGGCTGCGCCTCGCCGGGCGACGGCAGCCACGCGCCCGAACCGCCCCGCGACCGCGCGCCCTCCGCCGAGCACGCCACGTGCAGCGCGGACCGCCCCTGGCGCACCTGAAAGTGACAGCCCTGGCTTTGTAGCACGGTACAACATACACTGGTTCAAGAGCGATTAGAGATGGAGACCCAAATCGTCCACTTCAATAAACAATTAATGCGACCGATGCATTCGCAGTGTGGGACGACCCGCCGCTAGATACCCCCTACTACTAGAGTGGCGACCTGTGCAAATGTGAAATGTGAAGTCGATGGATGCAGATGGCTCAGGATTGTACTTCGTGGCAGTCTATAAGGGAGACTTATGTGGCCAGTGGACTCAATCTGGCTGAAATAATGATGACGAACAATGACGACGAAGTTGTTTTGTGTCGTCGCAGAGCAGCGAGGTAAACAGGTAAGGCGACCTTTGTAGGATCACGCTGAGTGAGATCATCAGGTGCACCGGTGGATTCCCGCGTGGGAAGGGGGATAGGGTTTTTTTTTCGGTGCAACCATACTGTTCTCTGACCAGGTAATATAGTATACTTCGAAGCTCCCCCACATCAATACCGAAAACAGTATCGTATAATTTGCATGTAGAGAGATCTTGAGTTTTAAAAGAAACTACTGCAGTGGCCTCGCTCCACTATACTGATACGTCACCAACCATTAGGCAGAAGACAGAGAAACTATAACAAAGCTTACCTTAATATCTAGCTTGACAAGGGCGAACACCGCCTTGTGTATCTTCCTGGACACCTCGTCGGTGCACTCTGGCTCCTCCAGCAGCCGCGCCATCAGCGCCGCCAGGTGCAGCGATATCACCAGCACCCGTTGCAGGGTAGCGAGCGTCTGCTCCCGGTCCACGCTCAGCTTCGAGTCGAACAGCTCCATTCCCCGGTCGATCTCGGACAACGCCTTCCGGAACACCGGCTCTATGTCGTCGAACGTCACCGGCGGCACGATGCGACCTTTGAAAAAGCAATACGTCAAAATATTAATTATTTTTTCATGTTCTATGTATTTATATTTTCTTACTATTAATTAATAATAAAATAACAATAAAATTATTTATTTACAGCAAAAGCACTACAAATTAGAAAAACAATATTGACTTATAAATAACATATACAAAACTTTCCTGAAGTACAATTTGCTGACACTTTTTGATGTATAAACGTAATATCTGTTGTCTCCTCACTAGGCAAGCCTGTATCGAGGAGGGACATATTGCTTTACATATACATTTTTCATCAAGCAGACTATTAAAATATGCAGACTAATTAAATTACATTACAGAAAAATTAAGTTATGACAAATAATATAAATCTGAAGCAAATCTAAGCTTAGCAAACATTCGAGTTTACAACCTCGCAAGGTTGACCGCATGTATGACAACAGCTCTGCGAAGCTTAATATTGCTTAATAAAATGTAAGCAGGCCTCCCTGCGTATGATCACTCACGATTAGAGCCAAATGAGATAGCATCCGATGAATCGTTGGGTGTTACATAAACTAATAACAAATACCTCTCAAAGGGGGCCGCGCGCGCTCGGCGAGCATGTAGGAGAATAGCTCCGCGAAGCTGTAGAGGCTGGACTGGGTGAGCGGCGAGAGGGGGGGCAGCACGGCGCGCTGCATGTCGAGCGCGTGGTGCCACAGCTGGCGGCAGCGCGCGAACCGCCCCGCGTCCGCGTACACAGCGCCCCGGTAGCGCACGTAGTACGACGTGTCGGGGTGCGCCGGCCCTGCGGGGTGGCACGCGACTGTACTCGCGACTGTACGCGCGCGGTTGAATGTTATCCACGCGACAGTACGCGCGCGGCAGATTATTGTGCACGCGACTGTTATATGCTAGACTGTATTGGCGCGGAAGATCATTCTCGCAACAGTACGCGTGCAGCTGTTTATACACGTACTGGCGCGGGGGATTATCCGCGCGACTGTACACTCGCGGGATTGTTTTTACCACGCAACTGTACATGCGCGGCTGTTTATACGCGTACTGGCATGGGAGATTGTCCACATGACTGTACGCGCGCGGCTGTTTAACCACGCGACTGTACTCGTACCACCGTGTCGACGACGAAGAATTTATATTGTATTGCTATCCACATGCATCCTTAAACAAGATTCAAATTTGGAAATAACAGTATCGAATATTTATTTTATAACGAGGAAAATGAAATGCGCACAGCGACGATAGCAAAATGGTAACTATGACAAGCAAGTCGACGTGTTCCAAATTAACTTTGGTTATTACACTGGTATATACATAACCCGACATATATATAACCCGACTTGCCTTACTGTACGTCGGTATCGAAGCGTACCATTCCATCTGAGAGTTGAAAGATCCGCTTACCCAAGATCCGCTCCCTGATGACGAGCGCCTGCATTCGCATAGCGTCCGGATCCGCCAGTATCTCCTCCAGCTGTTGCGCGTCGCTAGGCTCCACCGCGTAGTCGTATGCCTCGATGCGCGGTATGTCCTTCGGTTTTGGTATCGGCTCGCCGCCGTCTGCAGGAAATCTGGGTAAAATTGACCATGAGGGCACGTTACGAACGTCTCGTTAAAGTCGATATTCGCTTGCATCTGGACAATTAATGTAGATATTATATATATATTTAGAAAGATTAGTCTCGAGAGGTAGTAAGAGTCTACGGCTGAAAACGGACGAAGATTTTCATAACCTGACTATATTCGATAAATATTTCATATCGACATTTGGTAAGAAACAATCGTCTAATTTCGGCTTCGCAGAGCGTTATCTCTGTCGTAACGTCACGTAGGTAATGTAATAGATAATGGTATTATTTTTTCAAACTTTAGATTGTTTTTCCCTTGCGGTAAGCGGTGCTCTTCCGCAACCAAACCCGCGATTTATTAGAATTTTAATGTTAATTGCGTTTGAGGTTTATTGCTCTTCTAAAACGCAAGGCGATACAGAGTTCATTATAATCGTCGAAGTGCGCAATACCGACAGAAAGACATCGATTGGATGAACACGAAGATGATGACTATGACGATATTAGACGGCCGCCGTACCTGTCGTCCATGGCGCGCTTCCACAGGGCGAGGGCGCCGACCATGTCGCGCCTCTTGTCGACGTACGTCGCCCCAAGGAGCTCTAGGGCGTCGATGCGCTGCTGCCGCGTCACCAGCCCGTGCTCGGCGCTGATCAGGTGCTCCACGATGTGCGTGTGGCCGGTCACGGAGGCGGCGAGCAGCGGCGTCATGCCTGCAGCGTGCACATAGGTCATGTCGCGGCGCAATCGGATTTATGTAGTCATAGGGCTATCGTGGATTGGTTTTTTTTTAATAATAATAATTATTATTATTATTATATACTTTATTGTACACCACAAAGAATTTGATACAATTAGTATAAAATAAGTCTTAAAAGCTAGGTACAATAAGGCGATCTTATCGCTAAAAAGCGATCTCTTCCAGACAACCTTAGGACGAGGAAAAATAAACTAATGAATAGTGGGAGGTGGTGTGCTCAATAAACTTGCTTAACACCAAAATAGACTTAAATATAATAAAATAAAAAGAAATTATAATAAACATACATAAACATACATAAATAGATATATAATATACAGAGTGTCGTTACCATCGCGACAATAAATGAACACACATATAGGGGATAACATTTTAAAGTTGTATTAAACATTTAAATTCTTTAAACATCAATATTTACAGATTTATTAAATTTTCCAAAACAAAGAATTTAAGAACATCCTTACCTATAAAAGCGTAACGTAAAGTTCATTTGTAAAGGTCACAAAGCATATGAATGGGTTGAATGAATTTAAAAGAGACCAAACATACTGTTAGAAGGAGAGGCTTGTAATACGACGCCGTGGCGCGAGTTGTATAGGATGTTACAAATTTTGTTTCTTTTTTACTTAATTAGTTTGTTTGAAAAAAAAAATTTTTTTAATTATGGATTTTGTTTAACGTTAACATTTTTTTATGATTATTGGCAAGTAGCGTTAGACGTGTGTTCATTTAAGGCCCATTTACATGGTGCCAGTTTCTTGCCTGTTGTATACAATTAAATTGAAGCAATAAATGAGTTGCATGGTCTAAACAAGAAATGGTCTAAACAATTATTGCGCGCAATTTATTGCATTCAATTATTGCTCTTGTATGTTCAAGAAAATGGCATCGTGTAAATAGGCCTTTATTGTCGCGATGGTAACGACACGCTGTATATGAATAACATAAATAAATACACGAGAGAAGAATTAAATCCGAATATTGCCATTAAAAACTATGGATTACAAAGCGATAGATAATGTTGGTTTCTTTTTTTGCGAGAAGGTGGTGCGCGAGATGACGGTTCGTCTGATGGTCAGTGATAACCGCCGCAAGTTGACATTTCCAATATCCGTGGTGTTGCAGATGCGTTTCCTTCCAGCTCTTAACAGAAGTAAGAGTCAACGTCCCGATCTCTACGGGGAAAATGGTTCGTATGTGTTTCACTTTAAGAGTCAACGTTCTGATCGCTAATCTCTACTAGGGGCGGCGGTTGGAAAATGGTTCGTACGACTCTACGTCCCTACATCTCTACGGGGGAAAATGGTTCGTATGGGTCTCTTTAAGCGTCAACTTTCTGGTTACTACGGGAAATGGGCGGAATGTCTCTCACCGTAAGAGTCAACGTCCTGATCGCTGCGAGGGTAAAATAACCCGTAAATGTCTTTCACCATATGAGTCAACGTCTTGATTGCTGCTAAGGGAAAATGTGCCGTAAATCTCACTGACCATAAGAGTCAAGTTGAGCAAGAGTGCGTTGGTAAAATGTGTCGTATGTCGCTCACCGTACGAGTCGACGTCCATCGTCGCGCCGTGACCGAGCAGCATCCTCAGTATGAGCAGGGAGCCGCTCTCTGCGCAGTCGTGGAGTGCCGTGTTGCCCTTGACGCTCTTCCTGTTCACGTCCGCGTTGAGCGAGAGCAGGTATTTGGCGATTTTTATGTGGCCCTTGTAGCAGGCGATCATCAGGCACGTGTGGCCGTGGCGATTCGCTATCTCTATGTCTGCAATACAAACGACCGTCTACTTGTAGAACTAGAATAGCGACATTATCGATTACAGTCTTGTTCGAAGGGAATCATTTATTCTTTAGAGTTCAGGACTCGTGTTAATTAATATGCGTCATTTCGCAAACATAAAATTAAAGTAATAGCTTAAATAGCTTATAAAATTATTAAAAAAATTGGTCAAAGACATCTGACGACACAACCGGACGAGTGTTTGTTTTTTCTAAGAGAAGTTTCAAATAAATATAAGCATCATCTGCGACGATGTTGCATATGCGTTGAAAACTTTTTAAAGATTGCACTTGCCGGTACGTCCCTTGCCAGACTTGTTTATACATTTCTTATTTTTATGAGGATATTCTGTTACACTGATGTGCCTGGCTGATGAAATCCTTTAATGTTAGAGAAAAGCTGCTTTTGGCTTAACGTTTAATTTGCAGGAGAGGGTATTTATCCCCCGAGGAGCGGCTACTGAATATTAAATTAAAGAAAATAACTCGAAGATATGTGAACTCCGCTAATCCGCAGTGGGCTCGCATGGTGGACTATGTCCTGATATCCTCTGTACAGAGGAAGCCCCGCAGTGGCTAGTTTATAGACTGATACTTTACTATAGGTAAATGTCAAAAAGATGGTACTGGATGCCATTGTAACGTAAAGAATTCAGTGTCGCGTATCATTACAACTCACTCCCATCGTATTCCCCGAACGCGCCAAAGGAAGTGTAACATAAGAAACCATCCGATCATAACGCAGGCGTGTTCAAGGCGAGAGTGCGCGGGCTTTTACTGGGCCAGCGCGCTTACCGTCCGCGGCTGCATCGCCACTTGCCATCAGGTGGGATGGCAGTCAACCGCCAGTCGGTTCCATATAACAAAAAAAATAAGAGAGAGACTGTGACCCAAGCTCACCGGCTCCGTTCTCCACCAGGAACTTGACGATGTCGTAGTGGCCGTCGAAGCACGCCGCCCTCAGCGGGGTGCTGTGCGTGCGCGTGGTCGAGTTCACGTTGGCGCCGGCGCGCACCAGCAGCCTCACTAGCGGCATGTGGCCCGCGGCGGCGGCGCACCACAGCGGGGGCGCGCCCTCTATCGTCTCGCCGTCGAAGGTCACTGCGAAATGCGCTCTGACGGTCAGGCGTTAAGGTCCCAAATGCGGTGAACCGACTGCCGTATAATAACACGAGATGGTCGATGGGTTCACTCTTAGGCGTTTAGGTCCAAAATGCACTGAATAAACCGACTGTAGAGTAGGGATAGTCTACGTGAAGCGATTAGTCTTTTATTGCAATATATTGGAATACATTACAGATTTAGGTTCACTTAAATGGTTTTCAGTAACTGCTTAAGGGACTAGGCTGTCAGTATCGTTGGAGCTGGTGTATTGTATCGATCAGAATTATTATCGTAGATATGATTTTTTCTATACGTGGTAAAGGCACACACAATTACAATGGCTAAAACTAAATAAAAAAGCTCCCATTAATAATTGTTCTTTTAATAAATGAAGAGTTAACCGCACTCAAAAGAGGACAGTGTAGACAGTCACGATTGATGGAGGTTTATTGTAAACAATGAACCGAGAAACATGGAGAGTGACATTTACAAATTATAATAATACACAGAGTAAAAGAATGTCTAAATGGACTGACAACAAATCATTGATGCAGTGACATCAGCTCAATGAAGTACATAAATCGGAAGAAGTTTGAACGTCTCTTCTTCTATGGCAAAGCTTTAAATTATACCTTACGTTACACCTCTAACCTATATAAGAAAGAATCCTATGAAGAATGAATATTTGATTCAAGAAAATCCCATGCAAGACAACGACAACAAACAAGGCTGGCGTTTATAGAAATAACGTTTCGACTTCGATGGCGAAACAAACGCGATCATCGCAAATCTTCCGAAATTGTTAACAAAGATATCGTGACGCTTAAGCATCGCAACAAAATTTATCTCTGCTTACATAGATCGCTTAAAGAACGGAGACGAGTTCGTAAAATTGGCCAGTAATTTATCCACGACCGACTAAAACTATAGAAAGTTGCAAACTATTCGCAACTGCATCTCGGAAACGATGGCCAAAATGTGACGCAATTATTTCATTTAGTTTTATCTAAACGATAGAGGCCACACAAAGGCGCATAATTATGTGAGCAATCCATTCGATTATTCAAAGCCATTAGTAATGATCGTTTTACTAGATTAGATAGTTACGTATACTTAATAATTATATAATGTGAACAAGCTTTAGTAAGAGAGACAAACGATCCAACGAAATTCGCACTAAGGAAAGGTTAAATTAAAAGATGAATGCCTTATTGATTTATCACGCTTATATGTGACAAAAAAAGTCAGGAATGCTTGTTACTACAAAACCCGTTAGCCCACTAATAAGAAAACTGAACCGTTTGCTATGCGAACCTGTGTTTGCCGTTTAAAATGCACTAATTTATTAAACGACACTCACACATTGCCGTTGCCGTTGATAGACGAATAATCACTACGTCGGATACGTTGCCCTCGATAAATCAATCAATGGTATACGTCCTCAGAGCTATTTTTTAAACTGTTATTTTTCTATCAAAGTCTTCTATTTTGTATTTATTATTACATCAAATATTCACAACGGTAAATCTAACTAAACTTTATATTATCGAATAACCCTAGTCCACGCGGCATGGTGCCACGAACGTTAGCTGTATTTCCTGCTAAATAGTTATACTTAATATTTGAGAGAAAAGAACCAGCCCTATTGCCACCAGCCGAGGCGATAAGTCAAGGTATTTTTATTTCGAGAACCCTTTAACCAACAGTGGTTGGGCGACTCGACAGTCTTCTCTGTTGCACGAATGGGCAGGTCTATCCTGTAAGTACCACAACCTCACAGAAGATCGGCGTAAAGTGGAAGTGTTACACTTCAGCGTTTCGTCTGGTGAGGAAAGTAGTCGGAGCCCAAATGGTTAAAAGCTATCAACGCATGTGCAACCCTATCGGTGTTGCAAATATCCAAGGGCGGCAGTTATCACTTGACATCAGGTGACCCGCCAGCTCGCTTGCTACCTCCTCACATAAAAAAAAACATCATTCGACCGTTGCTAGTAATTACCTGATCCGGGCTGCTCGATGTCCGCTTTGCACCTCTCTATGAGGTATTCCGCCACGTCGTAATGGCCGTTCCGGCAAGCGATGACCAGCGGCGTCGCGCCCCCGACCTTCGCACCCACCAACATGTTCAGCTCGCTCGCGGAGCGCCAACTGTGCAGGTAAACCTGCAAACATAAAAGTCAGGTACTCAGTTGGAGCATGATCCCAGTGACTTGACTACGGAAGATCTATGTAAATGGCAAAGTCAAAATTGATCATACAATGAAATGTTGTTCCATCCCTTAGTAACGGGTTAGTTCTAAAGTAAGATTATTAAAATATTAATATACCTGGGTCTCGAACAAAATTATTTTAAATAAACTTTGCAAGAAATTCTATTCGCAACTATACAGCTAGTAGTATCTAATTCAGCGTCGTCTGATTCGCATCCGTGAGTGCTCATTCCACACCCCATAACCACATATGGCCCACCCATTAAGTAAAAACAACTTCATCCTTTTCTAACGTATAGCCGTAATATTACAATCAACTGAACACCGTGAAATTCGAATGAAGATTATAAATAACTTGCAATAGAAAAAAAAAATGTCGAAAGACACGCCAACCGCATTAACATCGTCACTGGGATGTTTTTTTTTTTTTTTAATTACCAAAGAATCGCGTAGAAAAACACGCACTATAACAAAATTTCAATGCAACATGCGATCTATTTAATGCCTCGAGATCATCTGCCATTGCTTTGCATGTGTGAACTTTAAGTTACTTTGTGTTTTCCAATTTGCCATGACGGTCGAGTAACGGGTGCACGGTAACTGTCAACGTTTTGTCTGTAATTTATGTACATTATTCATTAGTATTCGGATGTTGAACATAAGTTACTCATGAAAATAACGGTATTTCTAGCAATTACGTTTCTCTTCTATAATATAGCTTCAAACGGTAAATGTAAGCGAGTAAGAGCATACATTGAAGAAACGTTTTTCAGACATGACATTTTTGCATACTAGATAAATAAAATTCAGTGAATCAATTGTACGCATATTGTAAGCGTTCAATTTTATGGAGAATGAACCCATTCTTTCATTCATTAACTCAATTATCATTCACTCATCCACTGATATTATTAAGTAAAACGGACCCAATAATAAGATGGCTTAACTCACGTTTCATAGATGTATGTACCGATAAGTTTCGGATCTAGGTGAGAAACTCTGCAGCAGGCAGGGGACTTGCAAGTGCAGATAGGATTGCCAAACATACTTTATAATAACGTATTCTACTTTATTTTTGGCAAACATACTTAATACTTTTGCATAAAAATAAAGTATGTGAAAATACTCTATTTCTGTACAGTTTTTCATTATCTTTAAATACTCTTTTTAAGTATAATGAAAAACTGTCTGTGTACTAGAAGCACCCTTCTAGAGAAGAAATAAATAATGAATTAATAAAATTTAGAAAGATACTTTTTTTTTCATCCAAATACTTTATTTTTCCCTACTTGAAAAATGTGATACGTTATTTTTCTCAAAAACTGTTGGCAACCCTAAGTGCAGAGAAAGATTTATTCCCACACATCCTTATCCTCAATGTATTCTTCGACATTATAGTAGGCCCTCTCCATTGGAGTAGCTCTAGCAAATTGTAAACAAGGCCTCGAACAGTGTGCGATATCCGTGGTGGATACAGGGAAATCGCTGCGATTACTATCGACAATCGAAACGGGTGACGTGCTGTTGGTTTCGCAAAGCGTTGCCAAACCGGCGCCGGCGCTTGCCAAACGGCCCGTTGTATTGCCGGTGAAACCCGTTCGTTTCACTTTTACCGATCTCGTGTCGGCCGACGGTGCTGCATCGTTATTTTCGATTCATTTCGATTCATTTGTTTGCACACGACGAGATCCCTCGGGGGATGTGAATTAAGTGACTTATGGCCATTCTTTGGGACTCGAATTAGCACGAATCGGCGTAAAATTGGCTATGTGCCAAATGGAGTTCATCAATAAATATAAACATATATTTTTTTAAGTACACTATTTGAGATCGATGATTTATTTAGTATGTGTTTGTAAGTTACTATATTTAAACAAGCTAGCGGTGAAGTACAGAATTTAATTCTAATTAAGCGCTAATTTTGAAGTCTATTACAACTAAGTTTATTTATACACTAGCTGCTGCCCGCGACTACGTCTGTGTAGAGGGGTGAAAATTTAAGGGTTGTATGTATTTTTGTATGCTGTGTCATAGAAAAATAAAACCAAAAAATTTTGCCTAAAAAATAAAAAAAAAATTTAGGGGTGGACTACCCTTAACATTTAGGGGGATGAAAAATAGATGTTGGCCGATTCTCTACCCTGGCCGACAATCACGCTAAAGATCACAAAAATCGGTCGAGCCGTTTCGGAGGAGTTCAAGTTCGAACCCCGTGACACGAGAATTTTATATATTAGAGATATACGGCATGTGATTATTTTTACATTTGTGACTAAAATAAGGTAAGGTGATTCGCGTTATAAGCTGTTTCAAATAACATGTTTTTTATTTCTTCCAAAAATCGCGAAAAGAAGGAGCTTCTCTGAAAAATATCATGTCTTTTAACCAAGGGAGCTTACAAATAAAATAATTATGTAGGTTTCTTGATTTTACGCGAATATTATGCATATTAAATGACAATTATTTACGGATTTAGTCGCGTATTAAGTTTGATTTTTAAATTAAATCATTAAATTAGTTAAATAGAAGGTAGATTTATTATCAGGTATTACGTGGATGCCTAAGAAGACAATTATTTCATTCCATCGGCGGGTATGCAATAATTATGCGTTTGAGTTAATAACATTTACATAATACCGCGATAATTAGTTTAACCACTGCAGCGATGTTAATTAAGAAAACAGTTATATAAAAGTTGTACATTCATATAATTAAAAACATTATCAATCACTCGCACACTTTCTGGAAACACTAAAATATTGTTTGATATTATGAAGTTACTAGCTGCTGCCCGCGACTACGTCTGCGTAGAGGGGTGAAAATTTAGGGTTGTATGTATTTTTGTATGCTGTGTCATAAAAAAATAAAAACAAAAAATTTTGCCTAAAAAATAAAAAAAAAATTAGGGGTGGACTACCCTTAACATTTAGGGGGATGAAAAATAGATGTTGGCCGAGCCTCCACCCTGGCCGACAATCACGCTAAAGATCACAAAAATCGATCGAGCCGTTTCGGAGGAGTTCAAGTTCGAACCCCGTGACACGAGAATTTTATATATTAGAGATATACGGCATGTGATTATTTTTACATTTGTGACTAAAATAAGGTGAGGTGATTTGCATTATAAGCTGTTTCAAATAACGTGTTTTTTTATTTCCTTCTTTTATTTCTTCCAAAAATCGCGAAAAGAAGGAGCTTCTCTGAAAAATATCATGTCTTTTAACCAAGGGAGCTTACAAATAAAATAATTATGTAGGTTTCTTGATTTTACGCGAATATTATGCATATTAAATGACAATTATTTACGGATTTAGTCGCATATTAAGTTTGATTTTTAAATTAAATCCTTAAATTAGTTAAATAGAAGGTAGATTTATTATCAGGTATTACGTGGATGCTAAGAAGACAATTATTTCATTCCATCGGCGGGTATGCAATAATTATGCGTTTGAGTTAATAACATTTACATAATACCGCGATAATTAGTTTAACCACTGCAGCGATGTTAATTAAGAAAACAGTTATATAAAAGTTGTACATTCATATAATTAAAAACATTATCAATCACTCGCACACTTTCTGGAAACACTAAAATATTGTTTGATATTATGAAGTTACTAGCTGCTGCCCGCGACTACGTCTGCGTAGAGGGGTGAAAATTTAGGGTTGTATGTATTTTTGTATGCTGTGTCATAAAAAAAAAAAAAAAAAATTTTGCCTAAAAAAAAAAAAAAAAATTAGGGGTGGACTACCCTTAACTCTTAGTGGGATGAAAAATAGATGTTGGCCGAGCCTCCACCCTGGCCGACAATCACGCTAAGGATCACAAAAATCGGTCGAGCCGTTTCGGAGGAGTTCAAGTTCAAACCCCGGGACACGACAATTTTATATATTAGATATTGTAGGATAAATGTTTTTTTTTCCTAACAGATTACATATGTACCGGTACGCATACATAAATTCATTCTCTCAATCGATTGGATTCAAAAGGTTTGTTGTTAAAGTTTTGCGCAAGGAATTAACAATACAATTTAATAGTTAATTCAAAACAAGAATGACGGACGGGTAAGTTGTTCGTGCTACCCAAAACAGTTTCCGTTATGTTAAGTAGTAAAGTATCAGCCTATAAAAGTCCCACTGCTAAGCAAAGGCCGCCTACAGAGAGCATAGTTCACGACGCGACCCCACCGATTGGCAGACATCATTTATATCTTCAAAATATTTCCTTTTTCTATCTATATATAATTTAGTTCTTTTTTTTCTCTATCATATATATATATAAAAGCGATAATAAAGGAAGGGAAGGGACATAAAATATTTTACCGTCCGTTACCTAACGTTCATCTTCGACAGTCGTGTGAATACGAAATCTTTCCTTAAACGCATTCGTTGTGCCGAGTTTGTTTACCTTTCGCCGTAACATTAAAACGAGTTACATAACGTCGGTGCGCGCTTGTTCTTTACGGTCGGTCGTAAGTTTTGCATAATTACGTGCGTGTCATGAGGTTTGTAGGTCGTTGGTGTATTAAGAGCACCCGAAGATACATTCGATCGTAGTTACTGACGCGCGTTACCAACTGAATCGTATGTTGCGACACTAATCGTATACGTATAAATATTATTCTCGGTCGTTTAATGGAGTTATCGAACTCGAATCATGAAGATTTATCTGAAAACATCTTTTTTTTTCTCTTATGTGGCAAGGTGGAATGCAAGCTTGCCTTTCATCTGTGGGTTTTGTAACATGGATGTCGCAAATGCCCATGGGCGATGGTTATCAATTTAAATCGCTTGTCACCTTCTCTCATAAAAAATAGTGAGTTAGCAGGGGACGCAGTCAATTGTATATTATACGCCTGCAACATCTTTTGTGTTTAAGGATCATGGGAGGTCTACCACTTGCACGGCCGAGGTTATTTTGATATAAACAAAAAAAAATATAGAGTCAAATGATGCGAGTGTTCGTCGTCATCATTTCAGAATATTATATTACAATCCCCTGGCAACACTGCTTAATATACCAACAGCAATAACAATTATTATTAATAAACATTAAATCATATCTGGTATAATATTATATTATAATAAATGATGCTTAATAATAATTTAATAGGCCGATCTGATTAACTGTATTAGTAATTTAATGAGTGCATTGATTTGTAGTGTAGTTGTAATGACTCATTTATTTTGTATATAAGCGCATAATGTTTCAGTGTTAGGGTAGAACTCTGTTATTTTCGGCACACAACGTTACTCTGTTCTAATAAGTAGAAAGTAACTATTTACTATATTATAAAGTTATTAACGCTGTTGTTGCTATTTAATTTTGGCCAACCCACCTATACAGTCTTGAATAATTATAAACGATATTAACTAAAAATAATGCTAGCAGGAATCCGTTTCGCGGTCCGAAACATTTGACCTTTTGTAACCAAGAATAGGTACTAATTGCCGAAATGAAACATTGAGTCTGATACTCGCTTTTACCTTTTCGCATGAGTCACGATTAGATATCGTATGCGTCATAAACAGAACAATTGAATTCTACCACGCGTCTCGATCGATCGATTAACTATTGAATATGAAGTAAAAAAAAACAACAACTTATTAACAATAACTTGTAACCGAAGCGGGCTTATTTTTATGAGTGAAAGAGGCAATTCACCTGATGTTAAGCAATTACCGCCGCCCGTGTTGGTCATGTGTGACCAACATTTAAGAGTGTGGCCCCAAGACGGGGTCGTCAAGATTGCATCTAATTACAATAATAAACTACAAAAATTGAGCACTTTATTATTATGTATTATTACACACAAACATGTATTTATTACTATAAAACATATTGTTACAAAGATAATAATAAATATTATGCGTACTACATATTTTTTCAACAACTTTTATACACTGTATATAATATGATATGTAACCCCAGCCAATGTCACCAAATCATCAAGAATGGGAGCCTCATCCAATAGCCCAGCAGTGGCCGCCCATAATATTATGGGTGGATACATCAGCACATATATTGTACTATTGCCACATTATAGTTAAACATGCAAGAAAAACAGAGTAAGATAGACTTCGAGATTTTGGCGTGGCGACGATATCGACCGGGTTAAGCTTATTGGCTATAGCGTCTGGAAGCGTTAAACAGGAGGTTCGGATCCTGGCGGTGAGGAGAAAATATTTTCTACAATTTATGTACACATTATAAGGTATTTGTTCAAATCGCATATCATATCTCATTCACGGTCTACTTGATCATCGTAAGATATCCTGTATTAAAGAATAACGTTTACTTTACTACGTTATAGTTTTATCATTATTTTTTAAGAAAAATTTAAACGGAGGTTTTTTTTTTATGAAAACATTAACTTTATTACGCGTTAAAATTTTTGTAGAAATAGTTAAGATATCGTAAATATATAATATTTACATTACTATAATTATTACCTACCAATTATTAACCTGCGCAATGCATTCGCTGCAAGCTTCCGTAATTGGGCAATTCGTTGTATAAACAAAATTTCCGAGAAGGAGAATGGTTGAATTTTATTGGCAGCATGCTTTTAGTTCCAACGTACACCGTATCAAAAATATGCAGGGCGTCAAAAAATACCTTAAGGCATAAACAAGAAATGGAACTTAAACAGTCGAATTTAACGATAATTACAAGATAACTCACGGAACATACATTGTCTTCGTAAAATTACGGCGACCGTTAAAACGCAATTACGCGCGATTACAAGGTGATATTGAGGAATGCTGAGACGGGTCGAATTACGAGGTTCTGTCACGTTCCGGTGTCGAGGCGGTAGCAATGCAGAGGTTGGACGTCACGATGTGTCAGCACTAAATGCATTCCGCAGATGCGGAGATGCACATTTAATAGTAAAGTCAAGTTTTGCAGACGACTGACAAAAGAACGTAAATTTCCCATTACTCAATTTCTTAGTGGTCATATGTTCACAATTATTATAAAGATTTACCAAGCATTGATCGTAAAAAGTTTTCGTATCGATTTTTTATTCCTTCATTTAGACGTCTGCCGCTGTTATCTTATTTATTATGGACTAAAGTAGAGATTGCAATGCAATGAGAAGCACAGTAAGTGAACAATAGGAGAAACGAACTAACCAACACTCGCGGAGTCGACTCCCGGTCAGCTGAATACGCCGCGTCTCGCACGCAACACGACACAGACACCGAAGAGTTCCTTTGCAAGTAAACAGATCGGAGAACAATGGACGGGCTAATATAAACCCGGGGCGATTTCGCAACCGGCATTGTCCAGGAGCGGTGACTCGCTCTCGCAATCCCGGGTGTCACGGGTTCAATGCCGCCGCCCGGTGCGACGAAGGCCGATTGACTCGCACGTGGTTTCAGCGTAAACTCACGAGTAATAATTCATATGGAATTATCGAAAAAAATGTTGGAGAATATAAATCGAAATCTCCGAGAGAAGATGGTCAATATAGAGAAACATACGACAAAAGGAATTTTGACGATATCGATAGCGAAAGTATCTATAAGCGAAGAAGTGCCGCTATAATTTGAAGTATTTTATTTTAAAATAAGTATTTCATAATCACTTCATTTTATTTCATTAACTCCCTAAGTTTGAAATACGTGCATAATTAAAAAATCGGGAAGAAGGTTAAAGAAAGACAGTATTGAAAAAGAATTTACAAAACTTTAGTTTTCCAAAGTTCCCACTCTTCAACTTTATTTATAAATATTCTAAATAAAGTTTGCTAATAACATTAAGTTCGTTACATCAATTAATCACTCTTATTGATTAATATTAGCCTTTTATAAACATAAAAAGACAGAAAGTTTAGCAATCTTAGAACTTGGATAAAATTTTCCAGTTCCTTACAATCGAACACCACATAGGTATTAGTACATAAAAAATATATTTTCGAAAACACGAATTGATATTATTTATTTATTTATCAGTAATCCAACAGAATTACTTTCATAAGTTGTGCTAATTATTTTACTGTAAACATGCGTTATTGACATTAATCAATTAATATATAATACAAATATGATATTAACTTTGCATTTACATTTATACTTTCATAGCCCAAGCTTCGTACTGCCGGAGGCGCCAGTCTCGGTACCTAGGAAATGGATTTAGCGTTACGTAAGAAAGCTTATGAGCCTGGTTGAAGGCGGGCGTTGCAAAAATCACAACCAGACAGGCAAGCGCTAGAGAGATTACGTAAGCAAACTTTCAGGTTTGTTGCGTTACAATGTAAGAGAATTAATTGTAGTGTAAGATGAAGCAAACTTTCAGGTTTGTTGGGCAAAGGCCTCCTCTATACAGAGGGTATCAGGGCATAGTCCACCACGCGGCCCCACTGCGGATTGGCGGACTAAACATATCTTCGAAATATATATTTTTTTGTTATTATTTCGAAAATATGCAAGTTTCCTCACGATGTTTTCCTTCACCGCGGAGCACGTGATAAGCCACCACTCAAAGTTAAAAACTTCATTGTTGCCGACATCGGGGATCGAACTCGGGTTGCTCTAGTATATTGAATTAAAGGCGAGCGCCCGGACACTGAGCTATCACGGCTCAGTGTCCGGGCAATCCGTAGTGTAAGATGACACACGCTTATCCACATGTGCAGCCCTATCCGACGCGGAGGGCCGCATCATACTCGGGGGTTCTGGATAGCGTTCTTTATTATGTGATCTGTTACATCACTACATAGTGTAAAACAAAGTCATCCCGCTGTCTGTCTGTCCCTATGTATGCTTAGATCTTTAAAACTACGCAAAGGATTTTGATGCGGTTTTTTTCATATGTTTTTTTAAAGTTAAATAAACACAAAGAAAATTTAATAAGGTGACTGAAGGTATGGCGAAACTTGGCCAACAAAGATTATTTTCTTTTAAGATTTATTTTTCTATAGTCTGTAACAGACTACAGAGGTATATTAATATCTTGTGTCTTCTCTTCTTCCTCTCTTTTTTATACATATATAAAAGAGACGTATGTGTGTATGTATGTTCACATAAAACTCGAGAACCGTTAGCCCAACTGATATGAAACTTAGCACACAAATAAACAAACTAATATGGTTACCATGGTAACAAATATATTACGTTAGTGAAATTAATATAATTTTGAATCACAGATCAAATTAACTTGAATCTCACTTTGTATAGCAAGAGTCAATTGTGTGTCGAATGTTACCACGTTAGTAAACCGACTACTAGACAAAAAATATGTTTTTTTTTTTTGTGAAAGTATTAAAATTTGTAGATTTACCTAGGTGAAGCGAAGCGCACCGAACTCCAGCGTATATTATAAATTTGTCTAGATTTAATTGCTTCAGATCCAACAGATTAAATAATCCGACAGGATCTAGAGCTATTTTACACTTTTACCTTTTTAATCCGCCGCAGGAGTCTGCGTTGGCGGCGCAGGAGCGTTTTGCCGCAGTGCCTCAAGGTCTCAATCCATCTGCACCTCACCGGCACCAAGTCCCACATCGCGACGGACATGTTCTCAGAGCATCACACCGTATACCGAATGGGCCAAACACTTCACTCGATCACTCGTAATTGCCGAAACTTAAGTCTTTCAACTCTGTACGGCTTGTCGATTTCAAAGGTGAACAGCACTTGTAAGTTTACCGCGGAACCTAGTTAATGATTGCGTAAAAAAAAATAACATAATCATATTGTGCTATTATCGAACACCTCAGCGGTGCGATTAATTTCGTGGGAAAAATAACTGGAGACGATATTTTGCTACGAGACGTGCGTTTGAACTCGTGCCTAATGTGCTATTAAAGACAGGAATGTGTGGGGCGCGTTAAATATTAGAGTTGAATGAAAAGATATTAATTCATAGTCTAGAAACTGATTCGTATTAATTTGGAAAATACCCAACGTGACGCACTGGACCACACGTTTACGTGGAAGTTTTATGTCACAGACGAAGAATCTCTCACAACGATGTGTGGCTTTAGGTATCAGAATTAGTAGTGTTAGAGAAATAAAAATATAAATATAATTCGGCTCAAATTATTCCAATGTACAAAATGTCATAAACTTCAAAGCGTTTCCAATCTTTAATTTCTGGTCTATTGGATGCTATGTACCATCCTTAATCGATCAAAAACTGATTAATTACAATGAAGATATGAATGAGCATCCTTTTTTATCGAAAGGGTACTAAATTTTTCATTTTCTCAATTGATTATATTTTTTTATAAATGTGGTAGGGCCACGCAAGTCTTCTATGTCGCAAGAATGGGCAGGTCCGTCCGGGTAAGTATCACAACCTTACAGAAGAACGAAAAAACAAAACATGATAACATTTTCACACCTTTTACGGTGGTAAGGCCACGCAGCAGTATTCGCTGTTGCACGAATGGGCAGGTCCATCCGGGTTAGTACCACGACCTCACAGAAGACCGGCGTGAAGTAGAAGTGTTGCACTTCTGCGTTTCGTGTGGTGAGTGAGGTAGCCGGGACCCACTTTATTAAGAGGTGGCAATGCATCTGCAACGCTACGGGTGTTGCAAATGTCTATGGGCAGGCGATTATCACTTAATATCAGGTGAACCGCCAGCTCGTTTGCCACTTTCTCACATAAATAAAAACCTTTTATAACCGGCGTTAACCGGTTATATGGAAGTGTTATACTCCTGCGTTTTCTCTGGTGAGTGAGGTAGCCGGTATTGAAAACCGCTGGTGAACCGAAACCTCGTCATTAAAAAAAATACTATTTCTATGCTTACCCATATAGACATGACTTTGAAAAAGCCGACGTCTCTACATTGAAGACCTTGAAAGGTGTGCTGAATTTTTAAACAAAAATTAAAAAATACCTAATCATTATTTCAAAAAAATTTTTTTTAAACTTGATGGGTTTTATTGATAATTTTAAAGCGACAAAATGAGTCCCGTTTATTTCACAATAAAATTTTCATCAAAATAAAATTATTTCTAGTAGACGGACCACGAACAAATTAATTTACGGAGCTTCGTTATGAATTCAAAAAAGTTGATCCAAACAACTTACAAAAAAGGTGGATTTAGACATTTTAGCTCTATCAATTATACGCCAATTAAATAAATATTAACGTCGCAATCTATGATACAAAAACACTACACTTCGGGCAAAATACAGTTTCTTCGTTATATTAATATTACGTTTGTCAGCACACAGTTGAGCAATCGATTCTAAGAAACAAAAGTCGTTGAACAACAAAACCGGCACAGACAAGACGTCTGGTAATTGTTTGCAAACATTTGACTTAATTTCTATATGCCGTTTATTTGTTATGAGAAAAAATTATCTCAATATCAAAACGGACCGGATTTAACTCCCAGTTTGTGGGCGCGCTCCATTATAGTGGACAAATATTTGGCACCGAGATGTTTGATGTGCTTTAACAAATGTTCAAACAACGATCTAATTCCTGTCAAGGCACGTACTTGGCCATTGAATAATAGTTTAAAGACAATGTACAATAGAATCCATTTTGCAACAACGGCGATAATTATATAAGACAGATGTTTAAGTAAATGTGTAACATCGTAGTATGCGAGCCGACATTAAATGACACAACACGCAAAGAATTTTCACATCGCTGTTCTTTCTTGTGATTAAAAACTGAAGGACAATATTTATATATATATATATATGATAATTACTTGTATTTACGCCATTACACATTATTAATGAAACTATTTTTGTGGAATATCCGTATTAATAGTTTCATTTAGTACAATATTTATAATCAATACGACACGGGGGCACGTCAATGTCGTTCGGAAAGCGACACACGGATGAAATTCAACGGAAATAAATATAATATGAAACGATCGTTGCAAGCTACCGACACTTCGTCGGTAAACACGTAACAATTGACATTTACTCATAAGGAAAACGTGTAAGCGCACAATTCGCGTGAAATATAAACGATTGTTAATACAGATTAACGAAAAGTATTTCCGTAATGCAAATACTTACTCGTGCTATTTATCGTTGAAGACGTGGACGTTGCGGTTATCTCGATTAAGTAAAGGAATGTTGATGATGAAAAAAAAACTACGCTACGATGGAAGAGAGATGTATTCCGAAATGAAAAACACTGACAAACATTAAAAAGAGAATCTATTCGACCTTATACATGGGCATTTTTAATCGGAGCTCGAATGCAAGAAGGCGCAATTTTTAAGCCCGTTAATAAGTCAGAATATGGCCGGCGAACAAACGGTTCACCAGATGTTAAAGTGATTACAGCCGCAAAATAGTTGTTTGGTCTCACCTCACTCAGCCGATGCAACAATAGAGAATAACTGCCACCTAGGAATAACATCCACCAGTAAATGCCTATCTCCCGTGAGTGAGGTACAACTGCAGAAGCTGCTGAGTGGCCATACCACATTCTAATTTACGATGGACATGCTAAAATATAAGTCCAAACTCCAACCAGTATTCACGGAACCTCAAAGGAGCCCGAATAAAGGGACCAGTCCTACCATTCGTGCTTCCTACGAGCGCGACATAAAGCAAGGCGCCGCGTACACAAGGTACTAATCAAGCAGCAAACAATGAACACGGTCGTCGGACTCAGGAGTAGAAAACCACTAAAATAGTGTTGATGTATAAGACATGCACGACCCAACTGGTAGCGTCTTAAAAAGCCTAAGTTCACGTAACCGGCGAACCTACGCGTACGAGTGGCGATTGAGACAGAAAACATGATCCGGCAAGAACACGGTAGTACAACACCAAAGTATACCAACTAAAGTGTACGCCTGTGGACAACAAACATCATGAGTGTGCTGACTACGTTGGAAGGACACAGTCAAGTAAACAATAGCACACACGTAAAAATTAAAGTTATGTTCGAATAACAAAAACGACATAATTCAATGTAAAATGATGGCACCAAGTATTGCTAAAAATGCAACAAAAACAAAGTAAGAAGACACAGAGGTTTTCACTTAGCTTACTGGCTAGATATCGTTTCTAGGTAGGTGTAGGATCAAATCCTGGCAGTGACGAAACATTTTTCGCCTCTGAACTAAAATAAAAAAAAAAAACATTATTAGAGCTCTGCAGCGGTATGTATCCATATGCAAAACACAGGTGCAATGAACCTTTTCAATCCACGTTCGACTATAAAAGAAACAGCTTTCATTAAGACTACCCAAGTACTACAAAAAAACGAGCGAGCTTAATTAATATCGGAATTCAAAAGGTTAAAATATCAAAAAATAATTTTAAAATAGACATTTTATTTACTCTTTCTTCTCGATTAAATGTTATCATTGATGTTAGTAAAAAAATAATAATTTCGGTATTTACTTTTTTGTATTAATATTAAATTATGCGTTTGGTCCATGTTTTGGACGCAATTAAAAGTAAAAGTGAACGACGAAACAGTATGATAAACCCGAAGTGTAAAATGTTGTCTTAGTACTGACGTTAAGACGAAATTTCCTATTACTATTTTAACAACGAAAATTAAAAATATCCACGAAGCATTATAATATCAAACGTTTCATAAGTTATTACGTATTTTAATTTGAAATCGTTTGAGGGTGAAACGGTATTATAGTAAAAGTAGTAGTATATACAGTAAAAGTAAAGTCACCGTGAACGGTGAGGTATCGTAATACCCTACTTTTAATCACACCTACGGACATACGATATAGAATACGCGTATTTACGTTCTGAAAATCATATTAAATCAACAGTGTCGAGAACAGCGCAGTCCTTCAGAACGCAGGTAAATAAACAGCATTTGGCTTGCTTTCTAAACCGCCGATCCGTGAAGCGAGCGCCGTCAGCTGTCTAACATGGGACGATCTAAGAGGGAAAAGCGACCCATCGGACTGCGGTGCCGAGGCGGCGACACGACGCACGACAGACACACAGCGCACAACGCACAAGGCACGAGATCAGAGCACAACGCACGAGATCAGAGCAAGGGGCGCATCGATAACGAGATCGGAGCACAAGGCACAAGAGAGCACCAATACCGTTTTACTGTGGCCGCCGCGAGAACGCACCGGGCAACACGCGAACACGCTACGCGCAGACTGGCCGGCCGACGCTGGCGCAGCCGCCGCGCCGCGCCGACACCGCCAGTGGTGGGACGCCTCCATCGCCGCCCACCCCGATTGCGCAAGTGGGTTACGCAACCCGCGGGTGCCCTACACTCGAGCCTTTCCAACGGTGTGGCAACGGCACGCGATGCGATAACCGACGCCGCGTGGGAAATGCTTCAGATACCGTTTTTTCTTTTTTGTTCTTTTGGTTGGATCCTCCACTGTTGCCCTTTATGTTTTTACAAATCCGCCGGGCTTGGGGTGGCCTAAACTGAACATCGTTCATGAGTGACTAAGCTCAAGGGCTCCCGAGGGATCCTTGGTTAGGGCCGTCACTCTATTGAGATCCTGTCGAAGACTCATCGCGGGGTATTAAAACTTGGAAGCAGGACGCCACCTGTTGCGCTCTCTGTCGCACTCACTTGTCTTATGGTGAGTTACAGCGACGCACCATCACAGTTATTTGACATTAAGTGTAGAATCCCAACATCTACATAGTAGATAGGGTGGTTCACATGAAACTTCCGGCTTTACCATTTACCATAGTCATATCAGCATTTGAGCTCTGTGTTCGAAGACGCTTAAATACAAAGGGACATTGTACCCAAAACTACAAGTACATAATGTTATCTCTGGTAAAGAAAAAAGAATATTATAAACGCTCTGGTGAGTACTACTAAATAATACACCTAAATATAGCGATATAAATATTATCACATAGATTAGCAATCATTAAATAATTTTAATAAATTTACTTTTTGTTAGGAGGCACCTTGGAATAGTAATACGGTACATCTGATAATGTGTATAGAGATGAAACTATTATTATAAACAGAGTGCGAATTTACGACTTACCGAAATTATATATTATATATATATTGTTTTAGATTAACATCAACTAAGGCTGAATAATTATAATTATAATAATAATTAGTGCTTCTATAATTTTTTAATACAGGCGGGAAATTGTTTTTTGATCTTACGAAAAATGTCCAATGAAAAAAATATATACGATAGTAGCAACCCTTGAAGAATAAGACTATAAAAAATTAATTGCATTTGGGAGAAATGTATTGCTCGTCTACCAATTAAATACATCCGTCATACACCGTCTTGATTTGCGCTGCGTATCGAGTAACAAAATTTAAATAACAGAATAATTTAAAATACATCTCCTGAATAAATGTAAGAAAAGAAATTAACGTAGACTTAAAATCACATCTTTATTATCTGTCTAATTTTATAATTAAACATCCTATTGAAGACGTGATTTGTTTAAGATACTATTGTTCTATGAACGAGTTTATATCAATAACAAAAATATTGAAAAATATGTAAAAAAAACTAGTCATTATTAATCAGAGGACTTATTTATACTGATGAGAATAACACTTAAAAACGGAAAAACATTCTATTAAACGTAATTAATTAGAATCAATATTGACGTAATATGCTATCGAACCAAAAAAAAAAAAACGAGCAGTCGTTAGAAGCAAAGTTGAAATACACATTAAAACTAAATTAGGACTTCGATAAAAAAACAGAAGATTCCACATTTTAAAAAGTTGTTTTTAAAGGTCGTATATACAATTTTTAAACTATTTTAAAAATGGTGTTAAACTTTTGATCTTCGTGACCGAATAAAGCCAACACTAAAATTTCTACTATAAAAATATTGTAGTCATCTGAACAAAACATGCAAACGTTATATGGACAGCAAATAATATTAGAACACAAATAATTTGTTCTGGGTCTGGTTGTTTGTTCCCAAGGAGGTTCCGTCAGGCATCAGGCAGGTGGATGGCCGTATATAAAACCTAGCCTAATAACAACAAAATAACACTGACAAAAAAAATAACACAAACAACATGATTCGCATGTCGTGCCGACCCAGTATGGGCGTGATAAGGGCAAGACGAAAGAAGAAGATTTTTAGTTTATTTCACAAATTGGCTAAAATCATGTAAAATAGAAGGTCAAAACGATAAAAAAAACATTAAACTTATTTTTGGTATTTATTCTATTTATCTTAGTAGATAAGACGATTACAATATGACGAGTATTTGCTCATGTTGAAACCATTTGCGTAGGTGACATATAAACATTGATATTTCGGTTTCGTTTGACGAATTTGCAGTTGTTGTCATGATAATTTCCCGATGGTAAATATTCGAGCTCACGTTGCATTGTCACAATGACTGCATTAAAACGTTTAAACGCAATGTTGAAACGTAAATTTTCAATAGATGAGAATATCTATAACAAATAGTAAGAAACGGCTTTCTTTTAGAAGTTAGTAATCCAGGTTATCTATGACATTAGAACCAGAAACAACTGTGCCTGTCATGTGTGGACGAGGTAGGTATACAATAGCAAATTCAATACAAAATTGAACTCGATAAATTCCGTAAAACAGTTTCATTCGAGAAATACTCAATTGTGCGCCTCGAGGGTTCGATTTTCGCAGCTTTCACATCTTACACAACTCGGTGCTTTCGTCTTGATCTACAAGATTTCCTACTTTGCAACGGCGGAACCAGTCCGAGATAATGATGCTGTAACTAAGCTCTCTCGCTAATATTGTAACGCTCAATACATTAACGCAGTGTGAAAGCGAATGATAACGCATGCTCCCTTAGCGACGGCAGACAAGTTTTAGAAAGGATGCATCGGACATCGACACTCTCTTGCATCACTGGCATTGGCAATCATGGAAAAGCAATTATCACTTATTTAGGATAGTACTTGCTACCTTTACCGTTATTAAATGAAATAGTATTTAATGGATTTCGACACTTTACATGGACACGGAACTGACTGAGGGGTTTTACGTCCTGATGTCATAGTTATGTCATTTTTTAGTTTATCTATTTTCTATTTCACTAAATAATTAAATTTCCGGTGGTACCCTCGTGTTTTACTTATTATTCCAATCATACCGTAGACAGATAATAGCCCTTACTGCTGCCCGCGACTACGTCTGCGTAGAATAGGCTGAAGGCGTAACATTCAGACAGAAAGACAGATATACATATATGAAATATATAATATATATAAATTATAGCCTATATTTTATTCTGATGTATAAGCTATGTTATTATAAAGTTTCATTAAAATCCATTCAGTAGTATTTGCGTGAAAGAGTAACAAACATCCATCCATACATACAAACTTTCGCCTTTATAATATTAGTAAGGATAATACGCCATAACTTTGAGCTAGCATTCATTCTGTGGACAAAAGTTAAATTAGCCGATACATAATATTCGCCGCTATTAAAAACTAAGAGTCATTCCGGGTATAGTGTGATTAAAATTTGAAATAATAAACACGCTAGCGTACGCTTACCGACTTATATAAGAGAACTTTTGTACAAATCCGTTATCTACATTAAATTAAAATTATCAATTTCATTACGTTACACTATCCATATTTCAGTTATAAGAGACAACATTGTAAGTCACTATAAGGGTCAACTGTCCATTTTAATAGCCCGTTTTATATTTCGAAAAGTGAACAAGACTTAGTAATAAGTAAATTTGATATGGACAGTTGCCAATCAAGAGTACAGCAACCAGGTCCGTTAATAATTTATTTTTTATGTGAGAAGGTGGCAAGCGAGCCGATTTTATGTGAGAAGGTTCACCTGATGTTAATTTATAACCGCCGGACAATTTACATTTCGTTGACCTCTTTTAAAAAATTGTGCTCCGGTTACCACATTTACCATTCAACACGCAGCATTATAACATTCAAACTTCACGCCGGTCTTTTGTGAGGTCGTGGTACTTCCCCGGACTCCTGCCAATTCGTGAAAGCGAAGACTACCACAGTTAAATAAAATAAAAACTCTACAAAATATCTTTGGCTTTCCAATTATTATTTAACGACTTATGAAGACCACATTAGTGTGTGTGTCCATTTAAAACGTGCCAATAGTATCCTTCTTGTTATTTTTCCAAAATGCGGAACCTCCCGTGAAACTCGTATTTCACGTAAATTTAATTAAGGAAAAAACAAAATCTTGTTAGCGATCATCTTCTAAGCTTCAATTAAAAAATTATATGAACTCTAACATTTTTATGGTCGAGGAATCGAATAGGCAAATGTGCTGCTCTAGGGTGACGTAATCAAATGCAATAATGAACAAAGATGTATGGTTGCAGACGGTAGCTTCTCACCGCAAGCTAATATATGTGTATGTACGTAATTCCCTTCCCTCAAAATTCAGAAGAATACTCATACATGAATAGTGGCTATAAAAAATCGTTAGGCGCATTGCAATAATTGTATAGGAAATTTGACATGAGATTTCTTTACGTTTCATAATAGGATATCTACAACATTTCTTATAAAGCTCATTATTACGATTCATAATTTGCGATGCCCCATCAAAAACTATGATAACTATTGATCACGTAGAAATTGACGAAATATGTTCATAAACGGTTTAAACACCTAATTACTGTTTACATAGACCACGTCATCTCAAGTGACGTTAGTGTACTGCAGTTGAATACATTTCGTGAAAAAGATTTTTTTTATTTTTAAGTGTACAAAAAAACCTACTCGACTCGCCACCCCTACGCTTGGTCTCACGCGGACAGCGTTATTGTATCTGCTCTCCGATTTTACCTTAGTACGTTAGTAATTATTTTTTGGAGTAGAAAATACCCTAATCCGAACCCAATCCATCGGTTACAGATACGCTTCTAATGCATCATGTTGCTTTTTAAACCGACTTCAAAAAAAGGAGGTTTCTCAATTCGACCGTATATATTTTTTTTTTGCGGATAACTTCGTCGTTTATGAACCGATTTTGATGATTCTTTTTTTGTCGGAAAGGAGATATCCCAATGGTGGTACCGTGATAAGGAAATCCGGATCTGAAGATGGCATCCCAGTGAAATCGTGAAACTTTCTGATTGAAGTCGGTTTTTGTTTGTTAAAAATTATTATCGATCGGCATAATTAAGAGCAAGGCCCTTCAACTGTCAAACATATGGATAAAATAAATTGTCTGGTTATAAAAGATTTACAGAGACGCTAATAATCGTTCGTTTAAATTACATAATATTCATTTTTTGTCAACTATACTTTCTGTACTCGTTAACAAGCGGAGTATCTATTGTCAATATGTTTTTAGGCTGA